TAAGAGTGATTGCAGAGTCAGCAGTGTATTTTATAGTTAGCATATACTTAATGTGAACATACATAGATTGCGGAAGTAAATTGAGACTTCATTTCCTTGCTAGATTAATTGTAAAAATATTTTTCTAGTAGGAAGAGCACTCTGGTAGTAATTAAGAGAAGTAAGTCTAGTTTCAGCTTTGCTACTAATAACCTGGATCCAGTTGGGAAGTCATAATTTGATTTGGAGTCTCAGTATCCTGATACCTAGTTTGTGTTTATATAGAAGGTTAAAAGTTGGGCAGAGTAAAATTCTAAGGTAATCAGGCTTTCGTTAGCACCCTGTTAGCTACTTTTTTGAGCACTTAATTTACTTTCTGGGTTTCCTTCTTCCCAAAGAAGTGGGTCCCCCAGGTGTTGCAAAAGAGACTTCCATTGTGGCACCTGCCTTCCCTGCACTGCTCCATTTTCTAAGAATCCACTCTGGATTTCCATTCCCTTAATACTGTGGCTGGGAGCTCTGATAGCATAGTGCCTAAAGTATTTGACTGCTAGCCAGAAGACTGGCAGTTCAAACCCACCAGCCCCTCCTCGGAAGGGAGATTAGGCAATCTCCTTCCATAGATATACCACCTTGGAAACCCAAGGAGGGGTCACTATTAGTTGGATCTGACTCAACAGCAGTGAGTTTAGGTTTTTTTTTTCTTTGGAATTACTGTGGCTGTCAGCTGAATTAGGTTCCAGGAAAAACCTCCCGAAAATCCTGCAGCCTAGCATTGACCTATTCTTTGTTCTCACAGAAACCAAAAAAACAAACTCACTGACATTCGGTTGATTGGACTCAGAACGACCCCTCCTTGAGTTTCTGAGGCAGTATCTCTATGGAAGTAGATTGCCCAGTCTTCCTTCCAAGGAGTGGCTGGTGGGTTTGAACCGCCAGCCTTCTAGTTAGCAGTCAAATGTCTTAGGCACTGTGCCACCAGAGGTTGGGCTTTAATAGACCCCTTAATTTGCCCATCTGCCTATGGTAAGATTTTGTCTTTCTTTCAGACCCAGCCCTTGCAAAGCCACCACTGGGCTCTCCTGCTCACTGAACCAGAAAATTGGAAATGAGGTCACTTCTTGTAAGAGAACACCTACTTCCTTCCTTGGTTCGATATTTGATATTGGCTGTATTCTAGTGTCACTGTGCATCTCAAGTGTTTTTACGGTACATGGCCCCAGGCAAAGATCAGAGTACTGTTCTACTTGCCGCTGAAGCACCCCACAGGATAAAGATATGTCAACAGGGAGCCTTCAGCTTCCTTACACAACCAAAGGAGACTGGCTAAGAGAGGCACATTAGAGAGTGCTAGGGGAGCTCTGGTAGCCTAGTGCCTAAGGCACTTTACTGCTAACCAGAAGGCTGGTGGTTCATATCCACCAGCCACTCCTCGGAAGGAAGATGGGGCAATCTACTTCCATAGTGATACTGCCTCGGAAACCCAAGGAGGGGTCACTATGAGTCAGGTCCAAGTCAATGGCACATAACAACAACAACAACAGGGGAAGACTGTGCACAGCATCTTGAGCAAAGCAGGTTAATGGTCACTTCCAGCTGGAAAGAACTCAAGTATTGAAAATGGAACTAACAACCTTTACCTCTGAACACTGTCCCTGGAAACTGATCTCGGAAAGGTGTTTAAACTGACATACACTAAAGTTACAATTCAACTAATTCTAATTCCCCGCATAGAGGAAAGCCTTTTAACATTAGGCATTTTACCTGTTTATGTTGTGCCCACAGAGTATGGTTGCAGGTAGCAGAGGAAAGATAGATACTAGACAAGAGCCCCAGAACCATATGAAAATGTGATACTTATAATTTAATGTAAGATTGGGAGCCCCAGGGTAGACTCACTCATAGATCTTATTTTATGACATAGGACAGAAAGCAGCAGGATTTCATTTTTTCAACATTCCCCTCCCTGAGCCACTGTAATTAAAGTCACTGTGGGTTTGTTCTGTTATGAATTGTTACTCATAATATATTTCTTAATGCAACAGGACCACTGGTTTCCAACTTACATACCTTAGATAATTTATAGATTTTAAGTAGTACTACAGACATACCTCAGAGATTTTGCAAGTTTGGTTCCAAACCATCACAATTAAGTGAATATTACAATGAAGTGAATATCACAATGAAGCAAATATCACAAAAAGCAAGTCATAAATTTTTTGGTTTTCTAGTATATACAAAAGTTGTGTTTGCATTATACTGTAGTCTCTTAATTTGGGCAGTAGTATTTATGCAAATGTTTGAAATATTGTGAGAGTTACCAAAATGTGACACAGAGACACTAAGTGAGCACATTCTTTTGGAAGAATGACAGCGATAGACTTGCTCAATGCAAGGTTGCCACAGCAAACTTTTTTGTTGTTTTAACTTGTAAAAAAATGCAGTATCTGCAAAGTGCATTAAAATGAAGCACAATAAAAGAAGGTATGCCTGTATATTTAATTCACCTGCTTATTCTTTGTACATTTAGATCTATGTCTAACTGTTCTTTTTCAGTTCAAATTTTTTTGTTAAAGGAATCTGAGATCATGTATAAGGAAAAATATTCTAGTCATAGAAAAGGACTGTATGGATGTAAAGTAAAGGAAAGGCTGGAAACTTGTGAGAAACATACTCCCTTTATGTGCTAATATGTTTCACCAGCTTCAGTAGATACATGAGATCACTTAGTAGCAATAAGAGAATTCACTGTCTTTGGCCTCTGTGGGCTCTTCCAGGACCATCAGTAAAGTATCTCCCTAGTATTTTGGTGATGCCTTACGTGAGCTCATCAACACTTCTCTCGTTTCCCTTTCTGCTCTGCCCTCACCCCTTTGGTACTCACTCCCTGGGAAGCCACTTGAGGTCAGAGCTTCACCAGTCTTCTGCACACTGATGTGTAGAAATCTGTACTGTGCCAGGGATCTCTTGGAGCTTCTGTGTATGAACCTTTAAACTGCCAAAGCAATGACACTCAACTCTTAGGGGAAACAGAGAGTAGCTTCCCTTCGTATTTACTCTCTCACACCATAAAACTGTGTTCGTTCTTCATGTCTCACCAATTCCTGAAAAGCCATTCCTTCAGCTGCAAGAAGCAGCCTTGTTCCATAAAGCCATATAGACATCCATGGAAATGGTTGGGGTGTCTGAAGCATACTTCCCCATAAAACTGCCTCATTCTTCAGGACCCCAAACCAACCAAACAAACAGAGTTCTAATGCAAGAGTGCCTACTACTTCATACAATATGCCCAGAAATTTTTGAGTCTTACCTTAGGTTCAATCTAGGTCTCTGATTGCAGTTACTTCAAGATGAAAATAGTGATCATTATCAGTAGATTGCAAGGATTTGCATCAAACACAATAATGTTATACTGCTCCACTTACATATTCGCCTGTCTAGCTATCAGATCCCAGAGGCTAGCTAGGCTGTGACCGTGGAACAAAACAAAGCCCCGTGTGTGTGAAGTTGACTGAACTTGTACCATTCTACTTTAACTATCTGAGTACTGCCCATTCTTTTTCATGTTGTTGTTGTTATTTGCCGTCGAGTTGGCCCCGACTCGTAGCGACCCCTCCTTGGGTTTCCGAGGCAGTATCGCTACGGAAGTAGGACTGCCCAACCTTCCTTCCGAGGAGTGGCTGGTGGGTTTGAACCGCCAGCCTTCTGGTTAGCAGTCAAGTGCCTTAGGCACTATGCTACCAGAGCTCCCTTCATATATCTTAAAAATATTTGTATTCTTTTATGAATCTACATTTGAGAGTGAAATGGGAACACTGTTGACATTTATGTCAGGAGAATAAAAATTCATTATCACTCTAATTATGTTGTTGCTGTTGTTAGGTGCTGTCGAGTCAGCTCAGACTCAGAGAGATGCTATAAACAACAGAACAAAACACTACCCCATCCTGCACTACCCTCAAAATCATTGCTAGGTTTGAGCTCATTGTTGCAGCCACTGTGTCAGTCCATCCCATGGAGGGTCTTCTTTTTCATTGACTTTCTACTTTACCAGGCATGATGTCCTTCTCCCGGGACTGGGCCTTCCCTGTGACATGCCCAGAGTGCATCCTCGCTTCTGAGGAGCATTCTGGCTGTACTTCTTCCAAAACAAATTTGTTCATTCTTCTGGAAGTCCATAGCATGCTCGGTATTATTCTTCAGCACCATAATTTAAAGGAATCAGTTCTTCGGTCTTACTCACTTTCCAGCTTCTGGACGCATATGCAGTGATTGAAAATACCGTGGCTTGGGTCACTCGCACCTTAGTCCTCAAAGTGACATCTTTTTGCTTTTTAACACTTTAAAGAGGTTTTTTGCCTAAATATGAATGAGCTTATAATACAGTTAAGGAATCCTAGTGACATATTGGTTAAGGATGAGGCTGTTAACTTTGAAAGGTCAATACTTCGAACTCACCAGCCACTCTGCAAGATAGAAGACCTGGTGATTTGTTATTGTAAAGATTTACAGCCTAAGAAACCCTATGAGACAGTTCTACTCTGTTTTTTTGTTTTGTTTTGTTTTTTGCTGTTTGCTGTCAAATCAACTTATACTGACCCTATAGGATAGAGTAGAACTGCCCCACAAGGTTTCCAAGGCTGTAAGTCTTTATGGGAACGGATCTCCAGGTCTTTTCTCCTGCAGAAAAGCTGATGGATTCAAACCACTGACCTGTTAGTTAGTAACTGAGTGCTTAATGATTGCACTGTAGAGTCACTATGAGTTTAAATTAACTTGAAGGCACACAAAAACAACGTAATATGAACTTTTAAAACCATATTTTTGCCTGGTTATTTCTATAACCCTATGATTTTGATTATGACTGCTTTCATATCTCTCTCTTAAAAATCTTTATTTCTTGCCTGCAAGTTTCTTTATTAGAAGTGTTTCATGGGAATATCATTTCCAATCATAATTTGATTTTTTTTTTTTCTTGTCCCTACCAACTGAGAGTGTTCTTATTATTTTTTTCAATGCAGATGCAGAGTTTGCAGGGTGGTACCGAAGCCATAGCCCGATTGGATCAGTTAGAAGCTGATTATTATGATCTGCAACTTCAGTTGTATGAAGTACAATTTGAAATCTTGAAGTGTGAAGAGTTACTATTGACAGCACAACTAGAAACCATCAAAAGACTTGTATCAGGTATGGTATACATTTAACTACATACGTCCACAAAAGATTGACTATATAGGGAAAACATACATGGACTTCTCTTATATTCTCTTAAAAGCAAGAAAGAAAAATCTTGACATAAAGGAAACTTTTTAAAGATTGTTCCTGAAGTCAAACAGGTGGTTCAGTAGACATGGTGATACAACAGTATGCTGTTTTGCCTTTGTAAAATACTTGTTTTCAACCAGAATCTGGATTTTTAAAAACTACGTGTGGTATTTATTGAACATTTAGTGTGTACGAGATGCTGCTAAGTGCTTTGCATATATTTGCCCTAAGAGATGTATTTAATTATCATTTTACAGAAAAGGATAAGTGTAAAGTTCAAGAGGTAATGACTTTGCCTGAGTTTATAGCGCCAGCAAGGGAATTAGCACCCTATTCTATGTGACTCTCTAGCACTTGTCGTGTGCGTTCCATAGCACACTCTTAACCAGATTTCTTGTTGCTGCTCTTTGGTAACAGAAAAGAGAGATGAAGTGGTGTACTATGACACTTATGAAAGCATGGAGGCCATGCTGGAAAAGGAAGAGGTGGCAGCATCTATGCATTTACAAAGAGAAGAACTGCAGAAACTTCAGCAAAAAGCACGCCAGCTGGAAGCAAGACGTGGACGTGTTTCAGCGAAGAAAGCCTACCTCAGAAACAAAAAGGTGTGATAGGTTAAGCATTTCTTGAATTTTTAGTCTTAATTTTAAATCTTGGTTTTTTAAATTTCTTAATCCATATCTAATAATGCTAAGAAATTTGTCACTAGTACTGCATATTTTCTAAAGCTGAGTAAGAGACCTCTTCTTAATTCTCAGGCCATTATATTAAACACGCACAGTTCTCTGAGAAGTGCCCTCAAAAACACATCAGGATAGCCAGCACAATTGTGTTCTTTACCTTCTAAAGGTCACTGTGCTTGAAAGGTATGACTACAGGAGCCTATGGAACAGTGTTAGCTGGTATTCTTATACATTGACCACTAAACTATTTCTCTCCTAACTACTAAATTTCTAACTTTTTTTAATGTAAGAAGGCCAGTGTTCTAACCTCAGTCTTGAAGGACTTTTAGAGAATTTTAAAATTTTTTTCTTCAGCTTTTTAAAATGTTTGTTTGTATTTGTCCCTGAAATGGTTTTGTGAAAATGTGATTTTCTTTCCTGTGCCTTAGGAAGGTTTTTTTTTCTGTCTTGTCCAGACAGTGCAGTTGTTTCTAGCCAATGTAAGTGTGAAGTTGGAACCTAGTTTCAGCCCCAGCTCTAGGACCTGGACTAAATGGATGAGTGTGTGGTACTGTTTGCTTTTAGCTCAGATATCCAGGAAAAAATGTGCCATGTGAGACTGTGACATGATATCTAAGAAACCACCTTCCTGCTCTTCATGAAATTCCAGGGCTTCTACTGTCCCATTTGCTCTAGTTACCTAGTGCCACTCTGATAAGAATATATCACAGATGGGATGGCCTTAACAAAACAGCAGTTTATTCTCTCATAGAGAGGCTTTAAGTCCAAGTTCAAAGTGCCAGGCTTTAGGGGCTGGGTGGAAGCACCTCAACCTTGGGGTCCAGCTCTGCCCCCTGCTCCCGACCCACTTAAACTAGAGGCTTTCTTCACTCAGACAGCTGCTGGCTGCTGAGGCTGACAAGCCCAAGGTTGACAAGTAAAAAGGCACAGTCCCAATGTTACCAAACCACATGGCAGGCCATTAATTTAAGTCCACACATTGTAAGTCCCAATGTCAGCAGAGCATGGCAGGCTGGTGAACAATGACACGGCTACATGCCGGGTCCAAGTGTGCCATAAGCTAGAGACCATTCCCAAAGCTGCTGCTTATATATGGGAAGCAGACCACACACCCAAAGCAGCTACTCAGCTGCTCCAATAGATTCCACCATGGAGTTGATTACCAATCTCACCATGGGGAATAACTACATTCAGCTGCCCAGCCACTTAACCAGGCCCAGCCAAGTTGACACACAAATGTAACCACCACACCATTCCACAGAGAAGCAAAGCCCTTTGTGTCTTGAAATAGTTAGTTCTCCCACATGCAAGAAACTTGGGCATGTATCTTTCCCCACAGTAAGTTAAGAACCCACAGCCTTCTGTCAATTTTCCTATCTGCAGAATAGCTTTCTGGCATTCAGAGCCATGGCTTACTTGAGGAATTGCAGTTCTTAAATTCTAAGCTTTTGCATCATTCTGACTTTCATGTTCTTTGACACAAGGGTAATTGAAACCCTTTATTGTCTCAGCCCCAGACCTGATTATTGTGAGCTTTCTGCTCCATCCTGTGCCAACCAGGTAAATACGGCAATGATTCCAGCAGGTCCCTGGCACTGTCAATAGAAAAAACTTTCAGGAGGGAATGGAATGCAAATAAGATTGTAGAACAGACTTCTTAGAAACATTAGAAACACTGTTTCATATATTACTTTAATTGTATAATGCAGTACCTTAGAGACTAGTTGGAGTTTGTGAACTTGAAACTTCTTGAAGACATATTTGAGAACACTATACAATTCAGACTTCTAATTGATTTATTTTAGTTCATCAATGCTCTGGGCACATTGCTAGACTTGAGGTACTGCTCCTCCCTATCATGTAGAGAAGTCAGATCTGGTAAAAAAAAAAAAGAAGGGTATTATGCCACCCAGTGGCAGAGCAAGAACAGTAAAGAAAGCCTTAGAGGTGATGCTTTGGTTTTAATATCTGGATAGGATTTTACCAGAGTGCTGGGTTTGGGGAGTAATGTATGTATGTGAGCTTCTGCTCCAGCCTGTGCAAACCAGGTAAACAAGGTGATGATTCCAGCAAATCCCTGGCACTGTCTATAGACAAAAAATTTAGGAGGGAATGGAATGCAAGCAGTATGGCTTGTTAGGGCACCCTATGTGGTAAGATACACTTCAGGGACTGGGTTATGGGATGTTTTGTATACCACACTAATAAGTGTAGACTTTATTCTGAAAGTATTGTAAGTTACTGAAAACTTTTAAGCAAGGGGGGAAGTATGAGCAGATTTGCATTTTAGAAAGATAAGGCACCATAGAGAATACGTTAGCATTAAAAGAGATGGCCATATTCTGGTTGGAATGTAGGTGTTTATTATGCAGGTTGGCATATTAAGGGTATGAACTAAGGCAGTGGCATTGGAGATGATAAGGAATGGACAGACCTGAGAAGTGTTAATAGAAAATCAGTAGGATTTAGTGGTTTATGATGAAGGAGAGAAAAGGAGTAGAAAATAGCTCCCAGGTTTCTGGCATGGGCACTTTGATGGATTGATGCCAGCCACCAAGATGGAGAACCCAGAGGGAAGAGCACATATGGGTTAGAGGTGATGACCTCTAGACTTGCGTATAAGAGGTCACTGGAGCATCCAGATGGAAATGGTTATGAGACACTGGGCATGTGGATTTTGTAATATGAGTAGATGAGATGGTCCTAGGAGGAGAAATTGAGTAAATGATCCCCAGTAGTGACAGGTGTATAGGGGTGGGAGTGCTGATTCAGAAAGCAAAGCTGAGCAAAATAATTATTGGCTGAGGGATGAGAAAATATTGTAAGGTACATGGGTATGGGAGATTGAACAGCTCTGAAGTAGCATGAGGAAAGAGGACTGCTAAAGGGTAGGGAGGCTGCATCTTCTGACCTCCTCTAACCCCACAAGAGGAAGACAGAATCACCATCAGTAGCCCAAGGCCTATCCCTGCGAGGCCAGACATGCTGTCTCCCTCCAGCCCTTTCACCAACCCTGACACCAACTGTTCTCCCACAGCACCCACCACCTCTCTGCTGGGTTTGATAATTCACTGTAGTGTCCACACAGAACTCAGAGATTGTGGTGTTTATTGGGGAAGCACCAGGCTACAATTCAAGTTCAGGAACAACACTCAGTCTCTCTCAGCCCACCATCTCTCAGCCAACAGTCTCTCTCCCAGCAGCGCATGTCTCTCAGGAGCACGTTTCTCTCAGCAGCACGTCTTTCTTAGCCAGCAGTCAGACTTCTTCTGCCTCTAGAAGGCCTCCTTTTGAGCCTGGCAGAGTAGCCAAACTAACCAATCATAATATCAGAATTCTAAGCACCTGAGAAAGATCGAACTTCCCAGAACATTGCTTTGTGCCACTCGGAACAGAAATACCCCAGGTGGATAACTTTAACAATCAGGAGCTCCTCAGTTGCTCACAGCAAATTCCATCACGGAGTTTACAAAGACTTACAGGTAAAAAAAAGCCATACCAGGTAATTTACTACACTGCAAGGACCTTAGGGAAAAAGAACTTTGGGGAACATTTGAGGGTATGGGCAGAAGAGGATCAAAGTAAAAAAGTAGCTGGAGTCAAAAGTAGGAGAGAATCAAACTGTAGAAGTGAAGAGGAAAGATGATTCCACAAAGGAAGTTTGCCAGCAGTGTCAGGTCCTCCAGAGAGATGGAGACAAGAGGTGCAGGGACTCCATGACATCCATTTTCTGCATCCATTCAGAACCTCAAGTTGAGAGCATTATGGGGGGAGAGCTGAGGGAAGGGGCTAGATCACAGTGATCTGAGAAGGCAGTGCAGCAGAGGTCTAGAGTAGAGACTGAGAGGACTGCAGAGGGAGTGGCTGCATGATTAAATGGTCCTCTGGTGGTGTAGTGCCTAAGGCATTGGACTGCTAACCAGAAGGCTGGTGGTTCAAACCCACCAGCCACTCCTCGAAAGGAAGGTTGGGCAATCTACTTCCATAGTGATACTGCCTCGGAAACCCAAGGGGGGGTCACTATGAGTAGGATCCAACATGACAGCAGCGTGTTTGGTTGTTTTTTTTTTTTTTTTTCTTTCTTTTTTTAATTGAAGAGGAGAAACCTTGCTGACCTGGTTACACATAGCTATGTACTTTTGTTAGCAGTAGTAAGAGCCTAATTCAGACTGGATTCTTTCCTAATTAGTATGCATTTTTTCATATCAGTTTAATCAGTATTCTTACATAGCATAATGAGATTTAGTATCTTCTGGTCACAGACTTCAGAACTGAAAGAGACTTTTGAGATTATCTAAGGATATTCTTCTACCTTGCCCCAACCCTCAAAAAAAAAAAAAAGCATGAGAAAGAGATCAGGAGATCTAGAGAAGCTAATAGTGAGTTAATGGGAGGGTCTTACCAGATCCTGATTATCTGGTTTATGCTACTTTAATAATTTAGATGAGAAACCAGAGGTGGCTTACTTGGTATTTTGCTATATAGGTATATGTTAAGATTAAAATTTAATTTATCAAATAAAGCTTGGTATGGTGTTTGGAGTCTTTCATGTTTAATTTATATTAAATGACATTTTATGTATTTATAGGAAATTTGTATCGCAAAACACAATGAAAAATTCCAACAGCGCCTTCGGAGTGAAGATGAGTATAGAACCCATCACACAGTACAACTAGTAAGTTTGGACTCTTGGAGCCTTGGAACAGATTTTTGGTTTTTTTGTTTATGTTTTGTTTTACTTGTTTCAAAGTGGTTAAAATATAAAGAATGAGAAAGTCGTGTAACTAGAAGATGTTAGCTCACTTTTTAAAAAAGTACATTTAAAACATTCTTCCACTCCCACTATGGATGCACTTCATCATGCCTATGGTATAAATACATCATCCCAGTAGTAGTCTTTGCAGACACTTAATGTCTTAGATCATTGAGCACCAATAATTTTATACTTAATTAAATAATAGAAATGCTGGCATGACTGTATTGCTATATTTGCTTTTTTTTATTTTTTCAATTTTCTTTCTTTAGTGTTACATTGAAGGCCAAAGGGCCTAAATTTATCTACATTATCACTTAAGCTTATTCTGGCATACTGTTCCCCCTACCCTTAATAAATGAACTTTTATTTTTCATTATAATTTCCATGGGTTAAAAACTGCTTTGTAAGAATAGACAAGGGGCCAGTATAACAATCAGATGAATAAGGGTGCTCTGTAATGTCACCATCAGTTTGTTATTAAGATTCCACTTAGCATTTGATCCTTTTAATATAAAAATTTTGGCTTCTGATGAAATGCTGATATTTTGGTGAATAAAGTGACTAACTTTTTAGAATGAATATCAAGTTTTTCCCAAAGTGTTTTATGGGGCAAAGAGCAATAAAAATCAGGAAGCTGATGCTTAAGGGAATCTCAGAAGTAAATGTCATCGGCCTTTTAATTTGGTCTAGTACCAGCCTTGGATGAAATACCTAATTGTAGGAGGATGATTCCATTAATCAGCTCACTTATCTTTCATATGTATAGCTAAAGGAAAATAAAAGTTGGCTGAGACCAACATGTTGCTGTTGCTGTTAGGTGCCCTCAAGTCAATTTGGACTCACAGCAACCTATGTACAACTGAAGGAAACACTGCCTGGTCCTGTGCCATCCTCACGTTCATTTGTGTGATTGAACTCATTGTTGCAGCCACTGTATCAGTCCATCTTGTTGAGGGTCATCGTCTTTTCTGCTGACCTTCTACTTTACCAAGCATGATGCCCTTCTCCAGGAACTAGTTCCTCCAGATAACATGTCCAGAGTATGTGAGATGAAGTCTTGCCATCTTCTCTTCATTATGGATATACTTCTTTCAAGATACATTTGTTCATTCTTCTGGGTAGCCCATGATGTATTCACTATTCTTCACCAGCACCATAATTCAAAGGCATCAGTTCCTCTTTCGTCTTCTTTATTCCTTGTCCAACTTTTGCATGCATATGGGGCAGTTGAAAATATTATGGCTTGGGTCAAGTGCACCTTAGTCCTTAAAGTTGTATGTTTGTTTTTTAACACATTAAAGAGGTCTTTTGCAGCTGATTTACCTAATGCAGTAATTTGATTTCTTGACTGCTGCTCTCATGGGCATTGATTGGAAACAAGGAATATGAAATCCTTGACAACTTCTGTCTTTTTTCTGTTTATCATGATGTTGCTTGTTGGTCCAGTTGTGAGGATCTTTTTTTTTTCTTTTTTTATGTTGAGGTATAATCCATACTGAAGGCTATAGTCTTTGATCTTCATCAGTAAGTGCTTCATGTTTTCTTCACTTTCAGCAAACAAAGTTGTGTCTTCTGCATACCACAGGTTATTAATAAGTCTTTCCCCAGTCCTAATGCCACATTCATCAGTTTCTTGGATTGTTTGCTCAGCATACAGATTGACGTAAGTATGGTGAAAGGATACAACCTTGATTTTAAACCACACAATATCCCTTGTTCCGTTCAAATGACTGCCTCTTAATCAATGTACAGGTTCCACATGAGCACAATTAAGTGTTCTGAAATTCCCATTCTTCACAGTTTTATCTATAATTTGTTATGATCCACACAGTTGAATTCCTTTGAACCAGCCTCATGAGAACCTCTTGACCTGGTTTGTTTAAAATGTAAATCCCTTGATGATATCCTTATTGTTTAAAAAATTTTCCCTGGAAATCCTTAAAAATTCAGGAATTTTAATATTTGATAGTAAACTCTCAAAACCAAAATATTTTTTAGTTAATGAAAATGTAAAGATTATTTGCTTGTTATTACTATCACTTTTTAATTAGTTCAGAAACAAATTAGACAAAGGGAAAGAAATGGTAGTCAGAAAACCATTAAAAAAAATCATTCATGTGTTACGTAGCTTACTCATAACTCATGGGTTTCATTTCAGGAAAGCATGTTTGTAGTACCTTCAAGCTCATAGAAACTGTGATCAGAATGTTTTACATGGTGTTGCTCGCATGGCTGTTTTGGGACTGCCTACTTCCTCCATGTTCTGATAATGTGCCATGCCCAGTCATTGTTCTGATTTTCTTAGAACAATACTTTTTTATAAAACCTTTTTATTGACCATCATTTACAGACCAAAAAAGTGTGCAAGTCATAAGTGTATATAACTTGAGAGTCTCATTTTCCCAAAATAAACCCACCTGTATAACCTGCACCTAGGTCAATTAAACAGTGTTATAAACCCAAAGCCCTTTGCGTCCCCATTCACAATTTACCCCCAGTGTAAATTTTACAGTTGTTCAGTGATTTGCCTTAAGTCGTCCAGCTAGACATTCCAACTTAAATCTGTTTACTATTGGCTTATGCTCTTAAACATGATACTATGATACTGTGGTCTGCTTTATAAAAATTCTACTTCCCCATGCAAATTCATCAGTTCATGCCTTACGAATCCGAACCTTTCTCCTTCTGTTTCCATCTGGGATCTTTCAGGATCCGACTGGTATTTACCAGCTGGCCGACCAGTGGTATGATTAAATTAGTTAATTTATGTCTGAAAGATGCAAAGTATACAAAAATCCATTCACAACTGGAGTCATTGAACAAGGCTTAGAAAGGCCTTTGTCCCCTTGGTATCTGAAACATGTATCAGATATGGAAAGGCACAAACTCATTCCTGATTCCATGTGGTTCGCAGATGTACACATGAGGTTTTTGCAGTCCTTTCCTTTGCTGAGTCAGCTGGGAAGGTTACACATTCCAGCCCAGTGAAAAAGGGAGCACGAGGAGAAGGCAGGAGGTGGGGCATGTTCTTGCTCACTATATCATTGAGCCTTTCTGAGCTCTGAGGCCACATGGGATCTTTACGCCTGTTTCTAATGCAGAACTCAGGTCATATCGTTTTATTTTCCCGTCAGGAAACCCTTTATAGATTATATAGCAAATTTCCTAGCATGTAGGACTATCACTGAGAGATGCTTAATTTATGTTGTTGTCGTTGTTAAGTGCCGTCGAGTCGTTTCCGACTCATAGCGACCCCATGCACAGCAGAACGAAACACTGCCCGATCCCGCGCCAGCCCCACAATCCCTGCT